TATATCGTCGTTATGAAATTATGTTAGCTTTTATCAGACTGTATATTGATGCATGTAATTATTTTTATCTAGCCCAGGAATAATTTTTTTCTGAAACGACAGTGAGTAAATGGTTTAGTATGTTGCTTCTTATGCACAATATATGACAATATGACATGGCGCCAATATCAAGCTTGCATCAGCTGAAATGGGGGTCACTATATCCTTAATCCACCTGAATGGTCATTTTATGTATTTACAAAATATAAATAATTTTTATTATACAGTCAAAAACTAAGATTGTTTTAGTCAAAGGATGTATTTGAATTATTTTATCATAGAATATATACATGTATTTGGTATGAACCGCATAAATAAGAACCGTTGAGGAAAAATCATAATTAAAATATATTTAAATGGAGCAGTTAACAAAGAACAAAGACACTTTTTTCAAAGCCATAAAACACCATAATTTGAACATTACATAAAAAACACATCAATTGTTTATATTTATTACCAGTTAAATTTAATTTAATTTAATTTGATTTAAATTTAAGCTTTGCTTCAGTGAGTTGTTTGTAGATAAATCTTTCGTGTGATTTTGAACGGTAGAGTGGAATTTCGCTGAGCGACATATAAAGGTACAAAGTTGCGTCAGCATAAATTAAAATGTTTTTCTCTTGCCAAAATTTTAAAGCAAAAGCAATGAAATACACATAAATATGAAATGTGCTGTATTCAATTGCAAATTCTGATTATGAAACATTAAAGTAATGTAGCTAGAGAAGTCCGTGAATGGGGTCGGAAATATTAAGGAAGATCGAGTGGTTTATAAGAATTAAATGTTGATAATTGTGACGCTTTTCTCATCTTTTGATATTAAAGTTGATTTTTCTTTTATTTTCCTTTTAAGACGTATATTTGAAAAAATAGAAGTATATTTATAAAGACTATTAATATGCTAAACAAAGCTTAATCTTATTAATTTACAAATTTATTTTTTGTACAAAAGTAAAACAACACATCGTTACAACAAAACCGGTTTTTATTTTTTGTTTTAATATAACGTCAAAAATAAAGCGTCAAAAATTTTTTTTTTATATAAAATTTCATGAAAGAAAATTGGGATATGAAACTTTTGATATTTTCCATTGCAATCAAATTACTTTTTTAATTAACCCGATTAAACTCCGAAAAAGCAAAACATAAAATATCCCTTAATGTTTATTTCATTTCATTTCATATTCAATAAATTGTATTTTTGAAAAAAGCGAGATTTTTTTTTATTAGAAAATTTTATTTTACATTGCGAAATTCTCATTATGTACAATTGGCTATATAACATTCCGATTAATAAAATCTTTAACAATCAAAAGTTTTTATATAAAAATTGTTTTTCTTCTTTAATTAAATAAAACAATAAATAAACAAAAAACCTTTTTACATGTAAAACTCATTTAAACTAGACGAATTGTAGCAAAAAAAAATATTAAAATGTAGGAGATGTTTATTTTCCTCCCTTTATTCACGGTTTTCCACAGAATCAGATATATACATTTACAGCAAGATGATAAATGCCAAAAATTCAATTATGAGGACATCATATACACAATGTAAGTATAGAATTGAAAAGAATCATTCATTTGTACTGAAATTATCTGCATTTATGAATATCCTATTGCAGCAAATCGTGTTTTATATAATAAAAATTTTAGGAAAATATTAAAATAGATAAAGACAATAGCTTATCAAATTTTGTTGATTACATCTTATTTTAAAACAATTCACAGCAGTTTTGAGCATAACTTTATGCTCAACCCTTGACAAACAAGTTGATGAAATAAGAATATCATCTGTTTCGTTTAAAGTCATCATTTCGTAAGTTCTTTGGTCGATACAATGGCGTCAGCAAATACAATTTATTATTGAGTCAAATGCTGACTGATGTGTTTCATACTTATTCTTAATCCATAATTTTACACTGAATTGACGACCTGTTTGTACTGTTATTTCCCGATCATGACAAGGAGCACACGTGTGACCGGTCGGCAGGGGACTCATCTATGGCACCTGATCCCATCCCTGATGTTTTGGAGGTACGTGTTTGCTCTGCTCCTATTTTGAATTGTTTTCTGGACTTTTGATCTTGAATACTGTTCAATAATTTATCTCATTTTAGAAATTGTTCATACGCAGAACATGCTAATTGCATATAGAATCAACTGAGATGTATAAACTCCGTATGCAGGTGATGAAGGTATATTGCTGCATATATAAGGGAGGGTGACGATTGTAAAGTTAAAGTCATCACGTTTATCATAGAGCTTGGTTGTTAGATTACCATTAACTCTTTTTCAAGTAAAATATCCAAATATGAAACAGTCAGATCGTTTGATATATCTCGTCCAATGTACAATATACTAGTAGCTGTTACCTGTTCCTTATCGTCTATTGTCAATAAAGCATCCAAATATGAACTCAGAGTAATTATGTGTAAAATCAGAGTGTTAAACGATGACATTTTATTGATGACCAATCACAAGATGGAAAAAATTCCTAGTTCCGTTATTATTGAAGAAGAGAATCGATGTCTATGATGTCAAAAAAGTATAATAGAATTTAATTTGTAAAGAGTAACTCTATAAAGCCTAGAAAAATCGTTTTAATTTTTTTAGGCATAAAAAATGGTGATATTAAATTTTCTTAAAGTTCTTTAGAGTTTTGGAGATTTGATTAACACAAAGTTTTTCCTTTAAATCAGTTAATATTTTTGTAAGGAGCAAAGAAAAAGGTTTGGTAGAGCAATTGCTTGAACCAGAAATGTATCTTTGTTTGTTAGGATCTTTATTGAATTTAGAAAGCCAGGAGAGATAGGTAGATCGAACTCATCTTGTTTGTCTTGTACCAACACTGAAACAAGACTTTGAAGATTGTGAATGTCAACAATAAATATATGTTGTTTTCCCAGACATAAAATTAAAGCCAACATTCTTCAAAAATACAGTTATATATTGTATAAAGGGAAATAATTTAAATCATTTCGTCCTACTCAGAGATAGACGAATTTAAAACGGCGAATTAAAAACATTCTTAAACATAACTTTGAAACGGGGTTTAATTATTTTTATTACACACTTAGTAATAAATACAGGTTTTTTGCATATGCGATATGGCTGACGTCACAATAGCCGTATCAACCCTGCAGCGCTGATATGGATTTGCGGGGCTGATATCCGTATCAGCCCTGCAAATCCATATCAATATATATTGTGACGTCAATATCACACCCTTAGTAAATTAAACCACAATAACAGTACTTGTGATCATACACAATTTTTGGTGGGTTCATATTCTCTTAATTTTAACTTTTTGAAAATAAGGTTAATCTTAATTTACAAATACATGTAATGCTATAGAATATTTTCAAATTACGGATCAAGTGCATTGAAATAGAAGTAGAAACAAACCCAAATCGTATGAGACATTGGAATATGTACATGTATGTAAGAAGTCCATGCATGATTTACTTATTTTCTTCTCAACTTAATGTGTTCTGTATTTTATTACTAAGTATGTAATAAATATAATAAAACATACCCTTTTCCACATCACATCCTGTATCAGCCCGAGACACCAATATCAGCCAGAGGGCCGAAGGCCCGAGGGCTGATATTGGTGTCTCGGGCTGATACAGGATGTGATATGGAAAAGGGTATGTATTATTCTCTATGTAAATGTGAAAGGGCGAACAAATAACAATATATTCACTTTTTGACAGACAACTGTATTAATTTCTATTATTTAAAATTTCTGCAATTCTTAATTTTCCAAACTTAAACAAAATGAATTCTATTGTTTCATTAAAATGAATAAATTGGGTTAAATGTTGACGTTGACTTATTACTCTAAGATACCATCATAATCAAATTAAGCATAAAAACACGGTCTTTCAAGAAATAGATTTGGTTAACAATAAAAAGGCACAAGTTTTACATTAGACAGCAGTCTTGGGTCTTTTGACGATGAATATTCCTAAACTCTGTGCGTTAAGATACCCCTGAAATGCAAGATATCTTGATGTTCATTTTTACATACTAGTTAGTGTGAGATCATAGTTTAAATCTATTCTAAAAAGATCAACGACACATTTGACTTGGGAATTTAAGTATAACTTTTTTGAAACGTTAAAAAATTATAGACCATTTAACATAACAATTTACCATGGAAAGAGCAACGACACATTTGACTTGGGAATAAAAGTATAACTTCTTTGAAACATTATAAAGATGTAGACCATATAACTTAACAGTTAACCAAAGAAATTCAATAAGTTTTAAGTGTATAAACAGGTATATTTTTATGCCTTTAAGGTTCAATCAACACTAAAATAAGATCAAATGCTCCAACTTAGCCTTCAGTTGGAGGAAAGAACAAATAGATTAATTTTATATTCTCTTGGCAATAACAAAACACATTGCTTAAGTCTATATGCACTGATATCAGAGAGTTTTACCTTTCTGTCACGGTTTAATTCAATATACACTTGAGATAAAAACACAGGGTGTATTTCTAAAGGCAATTTGAACAATTGACAAAGACATTAAAATTCGGTGTCGAGTTAATTAAGCGCACATTGACTTTTCTTTTTTTATCCATTTATTGAATTTCAACTTTCTTTACCGTGGTAACTACGATTTTTATTTCTTGAAACTTGAACTATTATTGAGATTTAAAAGAAACAAATTACACACCGTGAAGAGGAAATTTAAGTAATTTTAAATTCAGGATGTTTATATGTGAATTTCGCCTAATCATCCATATCATTTTAAAATAAAATGTTTATTCGTTTGAAATTCAAAGGTAAAAACTTCTTTAAACTAAGGAACGCATTAAATTTATCAATCACGGAGGTGAACAAACACAAAAGCAATTTTGTTTTTTACCTTTGTATTTTAAAATCTGCAACAACCAAGTACAGACAAGACTTCGGAAATACAGAGAGGTCACGTGTTTGATTTTTATAATTATGTTTGCATCGCCAATAAAGCCAATTTGTACAAAGGCTTGTTTATTGCGGGACCACCTTGCTACGAAACATGGAAAAAAGTGACAATCCGAACTTTGTGTGAACCTTTACAAAGAACAAGATATTAATATGATTTTAAAATTTTTACATTAAGGAAGTGCCCTTTTTTTTTTAATTTCGCGGAGAAATTAAAGTACAAAAAAAAAAGAAAAAAGAAAGAAAAAAAAAGCAAAAGAAAATTCAAAATGACTACAAAGGAGAAGGGAGATGTAGAAATTATAGAGTTTGAGACTGATTCTGAAATTTCCAAGAGGAAGCTTTCCGTAAAGTTTGTGATAAAGGCTATTTTAGTGCGGCTATTACTGATTACACACAGTATCGTGACAATCTGGCGGACGGCGGACGTGCTGGACAACAACTACTACTGGTGTCTTGCCAGCACTAACGTTCTACTGGTCATCGACGCCCTGTACACCGTCATCAGACTCAAAGGACAGGAACGAAAATGGTAAATATTCCCCACGACCAAGAATATGTTTTAAATTACGTAATAATCCATAAGCAATTCGAACACGCTTAAAAATCACATAATTATAAAAAAAAAAATAATAAACTATGCGTATATTTATTTATTGAGTATTTCTACTTTTTTTAGGAGTGAGCAATTAATAATTCTAAAAAATCACAAAGTATAGGAAAAATATTCATCATTGATAAACAGTTAAATGTTATTTAAAGGAAATGAGAGTAAAAAGAAAGTAAATATCTTAATGAACTTTTGAGGTTTAAGTAGTGCAAATTGAAGAAAGACGCTTCTCTATTACTTAATTTTAACAAAAATTAATTTATTCACTCAATTATATTCTTATCCGAGTCTTCGTAAATCTACTATCAAATAAAGCTGCAGTCAATTTTATAGGAAATTCTCGAATAGAGTTCGTATTGACGACATAGTTTGAATATGATTTTCTTTATCAATTCCTTTTTAATGAGATAGTGTACTTTTAAACTTGAGCTTTAATTCAATTTCATCAGTATTTTATATTATAAAGTATATCCTTGGAAGGCATGACTTAGTGTAAGTCCTTTTAAAGAAGATGAAGGTTACCAATGTGTATAAGAATTAACAATAATGTGTAATAGTTGACAATGATGAAGTAGTTCAAAATGAATTATATTAATTTAACTTTTAGCTTTGAATGTTATACACTGTACAGAATCCAAAGCGGTACTTGGCCAATGAAATGACGTGTTGTAAATTTTGAATTAACTGGGTGCAAAATAGTAATTACAAAATCACAGTCATATCTATTTTTTTACACTACATCCACCCGGTAATATTTTCAAAATTTATAACATGACAGCCAGATCAAGTCATTTCATACATCGCAATAATCACATAGATATTATTTAATATAAATTTCTTTTTCTTTAAAATCCGGAAAATTTATAAATCTATTTAGGCACAACAAAGCAATGTTCTAAAGTGTTTTATTTGAAACGTAGGCATAGAGGAAGAACTTAAAGTTATAAACTGGATGTTGCATTATGATGAATCAGTCATCTGAATCAATTTAAATCTACTGTGACATGCCTGTAAAATTACACTCAGATTTATGGCAGGTGAAAAAGGAGACGAAGGGCCCGTGCAACCGTGATTTCTGTTGCTAGAACTCAGGATTACTCTCAATAGAATATAGAGGAAAAGAACGGTTCAAATCACTGGCTTCTGCAATTGGGCATTTTACCCGACATTTATTTATAGCGACGACTTATTGTCACAATGGTAATTTCTATTCTTATGTCGATACGATATATCCCGGTGAGCTTGAGATAAAAGATACCACAGAGTCTGACACATCTGTTTCATATTTGGCCATTTTACTTGAAAAAGACTTTAATGGTAATCTAACAACCAAGCAAGCTCTAATAAACGTGATGACTAAATTTTCAATAGTCAACTTCCCTTACTTATGCAGCAATATACCTACATCACCTGCATACGGAGTTTATAAATCTCAGTTGATGCGATACGCAAAAGCATGCTCTTCGTATGAACAATTTCTAAAACGAGATAAATTATTGACAAACAAGTTAATGAAACAAGAACATCAGCAGTCTCGTTTAAAGTCATCATTTTGTAAGTTGTATGATTAGATACAATGCCTTGTCAGAAAATATAATATATCATTGATTCAAATGCTGACTGACTTTTTCAAACTTATAATAAGGTCATTATTTACACAATGAATTGACGACGGATTTTTCCGTTACTTCCCGATCATGACAAGGAACACACAGCGGGTGTGCCCGGTCGGCAGGGGATGCTCACTCCTCCATAGTACCTGACCTCACCTGTGATGTTTTAGAGGTCCTTGTTTGCTCTGCTCCTATTTTGTATTGTTTTATGGATTTTTGATCTTGAATACTGTTCGTTATCTCAATATATTTCACATTACTTAAAATTTACAGGCAGGATTTCCATGCATGTGGATACTAAAAACTAATCAGTAAAATCACACGTTACACAATCACACATTATTAAATTAATCAAAATTGTTCTGTATCAACGAGTACGTTTAATATATAAACTACTACCAGAGAAAAGAACATAAAATTGTATTGCGATTGGTCACAAGATTCTACTGAGGGGTAGATTTGTTTTAAGATTGGCACACAGACATTTTTAATAATACTTTATGGCACAAAACTTTTTTTATTCACCAAAAAGCTATATGTCTACAGAAAACTAAAAAAAATATTGCAAGATAAATTTTTGCAAGTATTAAATAACTTATCATACAATAAATGACCCAGTCCTCATTGTTCTGTTTCAGGTTCTGTCCCTGTTTCCTGTTTTACCTGGTCAGTGTCGTACCTGCCTTGTGGTTACTGGAGATTGATCGGGTCAACAAGTACGACGATCTGATCAACAATGACAACATCACCGACAACGTCCAGGAGCTGTCGCAAATTCAAGGGGTAAGACAGAACTACGAGGAAACATTTATTTATGTTTTGCACTGATGTAGTACATGTGTACTTTTATTTATACCAAGTCTCTAACTGTTACAAAAACTTTTGTTAGGTCACTATCCCCGTTAAACTAGACCCTGACACGTGGAGGGAGGTCCTGGAACAGTCCATGCTCTTCATCTTGATAATAGGAAGGTGGATGCTTCCCAGGGGAACTCTAACACGTGATCAACTCTCACAGCTTCTTTTTGTGTATATTGGTTCTGCCTCTGACGTCATGGAACTCTTTGTCGTGTTCGAGGAGCCGGAAATTCGCTCCGATACAGTCCTGACGTATATTATATTTTCGGTTTGGACGTTAAGTCTTCTACAATTTACACTAGTTCTAACAGCTACTCGGGACAGCAGACGATCACAGGCGGTCATTGAAGACGATGGAAACGAAAAGTTCAAAAGAAGACAGGGATGCGGGGTGTGTTCGTGTGGTAAACTCTTTGAACTTGAGATCTGGAGTTTGATGATTTCTATCTTGATTATGGACGGGCCATTTTTGGCAGTAAGGGTGTATGCTTTAGCCCGATACCAATTGATTACCTTTGGTATCCTGTTTTTTGTTTGCAAAAACTCACTTATGATTGCTCTTTTGTTCTATCGGATCGTTGTTGTTTGTCATAAAATTTATTTTGAGGAGGAGGAGGAGGAAAAGGACAATGTCAGCAGAAAAAACAACCGTGTAGGTGACGTACAGACTGTAAACAATAGGAGAAGGACAATCATGAAGAAGGAATCGGACCTATCCACTCGCCCTAGCACCTCAACAACCAAAGTAACAAGTGTTGACGAAGTATGGTAAGCCATGCTCGTCATCAATCAAAGTTACAAGTCTTGACGATGTATGGTAAACCATGCTAACATGCCCAGCAGTATTTATATTTGAATGTGAAGTTAATTTTTAGGTTTTTGCAAAAAATGAAATTATAATTAAAGTTTTTTATAGTCAATTTTAATTAACACTTTGTTGTATCTAGATTCGTTTGATACTTCTTACTTAAATTAATGCAAACAACAGTGTTTATTTGTAAATCATTAATTTTCAAGATAAATAAGATTTACATTTCTTGTTTATTTTTAAAACAATCTGTCATTTTCGAAGTGATTGTTAGAATAAGATATTGTTTAAATGGAAAATTTTAAAAGAAACTTCAAAATAAACTTTAATTAATATAGCTGGTTCCAGTGTTTGTAATAAATTTCTGTGCGTTTGGACATTTCAGTAAACTCACAGATGTACGACGAATAAGACATTCATATATCAAAGGCCACATCGGAGGGCTTTCTTACCGCTACTTTAATTAATGACATAGTTTTCACATTACCAATACTTACTGTCCGTGACCCCTAAAAATGTATGTGCGTGTATTATTTGTTCATGCTTCTTTTATAATAAAACTGTCTGAAGACAATACGGAATATTCAATTGTCTTCCGATCAGAATTCTTGAATAACAAATGATGGTATTTACTTTCTATATAAATATAAAAATATGAATTCTTTAAATATCTACACTAAATGAGAAAATAAATGAAACTTGTTTATGAATGAATAAAATCATGAATGATTTTTCTCTAATATATATTTAATGATACACGTCGATACTCTGTGAAACTACCATGAAATGAAGTCACAAACACAATATTTTGCATGTTGTTATAGTGATGCGCCATCTTTATCGTGGAGAAAATCTATGATTGACACGAATATTTGTATTTTAAATTTTATGTTTATTTTTTTCCTTATGAAATACTTCTGGTGATAAAAACATACAAGGGCAACCACGTGAAAGATATGACTTTAAACCATTTACATTAGTTAAAAAAAAACCCCGAATTTTATGCGTAGTACGCAATTTACAGATGTTAAATGGTATACAATCAAGGCTAGCGATTTCTTAGATTTTTTTTCCTTTAAAAGTTACAATTGTTTTACAAATGGTACGCGATATATGGGGAACACTGCTCGTCAACAACCAAATAAATAAATATAAATGAAAAAATGTCTCATCAGGCACTTCTTTGCAGCACTCTATTAAGAAGTGTCATCGCGCCGAACGCTCAAGTAAGCTTTTTTGAAAGAAAAATATCAGGGTAAAGAAAAAAGTGACCCCAGTTGAATGTTATTAATTGGGGTCATTTTTCTGTATAGAAATTTGACTCCCCCTGATCAATGTTCTTAGTAGAAAATTTATTTGTAGAAATTATGGCCTTGGCGTCATTTTTCTCCGTGTGAATTGTAGAAAAATGATTCCGTAGACTCGTGACCCTGTACGAGTCATTTTTAAAACAAAAACTTGCTATGGTAGGACCACTCTTGCTAGGCAAATACAAAAAGAGTAAAATCACGCAGCCTTGTGATAAGTATACTACACAACAATTGTTTTCATTTCAATATTCCAGAGACCGATGTCTTTGTCCCACATGTAGTGGAAGTCAAACCTGCAACATAAGGATCAACTGCTTACTGAGCAAACGCACTAACCACGCTGGCGACTGATAGTGGTATTTAAGCCATAATCTTTACAACACATACTTGTTTAAAGAAGACATGTCATTTCAATGATGTGCATTTATTTTGGAAAGCAGCCTTTCACATTTCAATGTAGAAATTTTGTAATTCAAATGCAACAAAAAGTTCTAGATGTTTTATGGACGAATGTTAAAAAAATCTGTTAATTTTTGAGACAAGTGTGTTCAATTAACACAGCATTATCTTTTTTCATTTTTTTTTCCTGACATAAATAACAATATTCAAAAAAAGTTCAACTAAAGTAAAGTTAACGAAAGTACAGAAAAATTTGACACTTTATTTAGAGATTATCAAGCAAATCAAAAACAAATTAAATCTGAAAAAGAAATAACATATTCTACGCTTTATCGAACTTCGTAAACAATTTGAAATTATAATTTTGAGGTTGTGTTAATTGATCTCTTCTTGTCACACGTTCCCATGAAATTGATTTTAATTGACGCCTTAAGAAATAATGATTGACGACCGACTTTGTTTATTCCACTCTTTTTAGAAGACGCCTACTGTCTACTGGTCAAGATGCCTGCCAGTTTAGCAATTTTGATATATTTGTGTATGAAAAAATCAATCGTTGGAATAAAAATTGCAACGATGATTATATTTTCCACTTATTAAATCCTATTCACTTGAGCAATAAATGAAATTGAAATAATAGATACCACAGAGTCTGACACATCTGTTTCATATTTGCATATTTTACTTGAAAAGACGTTAATTGTAATCTAACAACCAAGCTCTATGATAAACGTATTGACTTTAACTTTTCAATCATCAACTTCCCTCACTGATGCAGCAGTATACCTTCATCGCCTGCATACGAAGTCTATATCTCTCAGTTGATTCGATACGCAAGAGCATACTGTACGTATGAACAATTTCTAAGACGAGATAAATTATTGACAAACAAGTTGATGAAACAAAAAAATCTGCAGTCTTGTTTAAAGTTGACTTATCATTTCGTAAGTTATATGGTCGATATGTACAATGACTTTGTCAGCAATACAATTCATCATTGAGTCAAAAGCTGGCTGACGTTTTTCATACTAATTATTAGCCCATTTTTACGCACTGAATTGACGACGGATTTTTCCGTAATTTCCCAGTCATGACAAGGAGCACACGGCGGGTGTGACCAGTCGGAAGGGGATGCTCACTCCTCCATGGCACCTGATTCCGCCTCTGATGTTTAGGAGGTCTGTGTTTGCTCTGCTCCTATGTCGTATTGATGTATGGACTTTTGAGCTTTATTATGTACTGCTCGTTATCTTCTTATATTTCACCAAGGAAATAATGATCCTGCAGCAGTTATTACTTATATAACACGAAAACAAATTCAACTGATAAAATCTAGTGTAAATTATAAAATTATATATAACTTTATCAAGCTCGATAAATACCCAAAATGAAGAGTGATAATGAAGCGCAGATCCAAACGTTCGTATTAAAGGATGTGAAAATCACGTCAAGGGCGTTTTCTAGCTCGACCTAAAATGCAATGAAGCAGAATAATTAATGAACTGATTTGTCTGACTATGACCTAAGGAACAGGCTAGGCAAAAATATCTGTAAACCAAAAGGTATTTTTTTGTGTGTATGTACCTATCTCTTAACATGAAATAATAAATGCACAACTTATGATAAATGAAAAAAAAATTGAATCATTATTATAAAAAACCTTTCCGTTGTATTGAACTCGAGAACATTAAGACGCATTTGTTTCTTGTTAATTATTCCACCATTATATAATATTTGCCATGTTAGCTTTTGACATTGAGATGATGATATACACACTGTTTAAGCAATAAATCAGAATTATAAATCAATAATTATTTTTCACCAAAGATAATTCTGTCAAACTTGATGAATAGTCTACGGAGTATAGAATACCACGAATTTATTTTTTGTACTTTTTCTAAGGACGGCTTATTATTATATTATATATTAGGGGAATATTGTGCAACTTTACTGTGATATGAAAACAATTTTTATGTAAAACACGGACACATTTGACTATTTTCCGTAATTACTTCTCTTTGATATTTGAACAGACTTCAAGTTTTGACGTGTGATCTTACCTGATGATATATATTGTAAAAAAAACTTCTACACCCTCTCCTAACATGCATTTTTTGGTGGGTCTTGCACAATTTTATTGATTGTAGTAATTGTTTTACTTATCCGTCACTTACTCCGTGACATTAGCTGGCTGGGCCTCGGGCGAGACTTATCGGAATAGTGTGGGCCATCTTTACTGCTCAGGACTCTCTTTATGCCACCGTAATGGCTTTCCAGCAATAAGAAATCAGTTTGCGTCCAATTAAAACGTTGGGATGTGCTTAAGAAAATAATAGTGATTTCTTTATAAGAATAATAGTGTTTCGTTAATTTATTTGGATTTTCCTGAAAAAGTGATAGATTTTATTAAGCTGGATTTAAAATGGTGAGTATTTTAGGTGAAAACAATTAAATTTAAATATATTTGCTATTCCCATAATAGTGTTAAGATAATCATATCTTAAAAATCCTTTTTTTTTAATGAATGTACCTTTTTAATGTTTCAAAGAGATGGAGGAGATGACACTAATTTAATTGTTAACTGAAATATGTTTTAACTGCACTAATTAGTTCTTCATAATAATGTTATTAAAACGAAAGCTAATAGAAATCAATATGTTGACTATTGAATCTTTGGTTTTCTGGTATTTTGGATTACTTTGAATTACATTGCTCCTAATGTTTAAAGATGGATGTACTTTCTATTTTAACCGAGGTTAAACGAAAGTTACGTCAAAGTTTTTACAAGAAATGCTAATGGGACCTTAAAAGAAAATTCTGAATATTCATTACACTACCTTCCTGTAGCTTGAGTAACATAGAATGTTAATTAGTGTCCATGGACGTCCAATTAAGACGTAAAAATTACATTTGCACTGTGTGTTAATTATGCAATGTCATACTAATAATTGCTCGGAACTTTGTACTGTTTTAATATTACATGTATAATGTTTTCCTACTATCATGTGTATTTTGGTTGATTAGAGTTATTGTCATCAGCAGATAGTGTTTCAAAGAAATGGAATAAATCATTGTAAAAAATGTCCGTGTTTGTAAACAAGTAGCTAATTAACATTTCAAAGATAATGATCAAAAGTAATCTTCCTATTCTACGAATTAACGTTTGAGCAACGTGAAAATGTTGCTTTCTATCAAGATATTTGAAATTTATTTAAATTATGTACTTATCCCAACAAACAGAAATCAAGTATGACGCAATTTTCGATTCCCTTCTTCTGTTAGCTTTAAACAATAAATATTTATTTATTTATCAATTAATTTATCAGAAATTTAAAATTCTGTACTAGTATAATAAAATGTTCGTTTCTGATATTATGAAAGGTAATTTGGAACTCATTATATATCACCAAGAGTAAAATACAGATAATGCCAATGATTTTTAATAAGTCTTTGATTGAGTTTTGAACATCATGTTTCTAGTATAAACAATTTCAAAAAAAAAAAAATCAAATGTTTGTAAAATATGGGAAAGGATAAGGTCTAGTTAAGTCACTTCAAAATAAAATGATCTCTATTTTTTCCTATCTCAAATTTAAAAGGAAAACAGTAAAAATATGCTTATTTACTAACGCATTTATTGGAGTACGTTTTAAATATTTTAACTGTTACAATTTCACCAGTGATACTCAAAATATCTAATTCTAGCTATTGTTATGCAAATTATTCTACCCCCCTAGCTGTTCTCAATTTTGACTTTGGCGCATACCAATTGATTGTAGTAAATTTAAACACTTAAAACGCTTTCACGAATTTAAAATATAATATTTTTCGTTAAAATTGTAAATATATCTTGAACTTTTCCTTAAAAATTGTAAATATATCTTGAAATTTTTCTAAAAAATTGTAAATATATCTTGAACTTTTTCTTAAAATTTGTAAATATATCTTGAACTTTTTCTTAAAACATCCTATCGGTTTCATATGCCCATGATAAGTTACCAGTGGTTTGCATATTTTGAAGAAAATAAAAATTTTAATGTTTAAAAAAATGAAAAAGGAAAGGAAGAGCCTTCTTTCTAATCTAACTTTCTGGAATCTTCTTTAAAAGATATCAAATTAGATTCCTTCAAGGGCGTTTCGTTCTATGACATTCAAAAAGAGAAAATTTAATGCTGCTGCTCTTTTATTTTTATGCAAAATTCTTTTTCGTCATTTTAAGCATTTTAAGATATTCATTTAAGATTTTATAATAATTGAAATGTCAAACACATCAGTCTGATTAAAACCAGATCTTTTTTACTCTAAGATTACTAAATACTAAGATTATGAAAATTCTTTTTAAAAAAAATCTATCACAAGAAGCAGGAAAGTAACAATAATATTGAATGAAGAGTAGTACAAACAAAATAACATGAAAACATTAGATCTGAGAGAACACGTGATGAGAACAGTAACTTACCTGTCGACCCTAGATAAGATAAATGAGGTGTGTACATGTGTGACAGGTGATCACAAAATACAATTAACAGGTGTCACTGCTATCATTATCTCGCTTGTCTTAGATTTCTACATTAAATGCCAAACCGCTCAGGAATTCCGCTAATTTCGTTAAATCCTTAAAAATCTTTTAAAGTGAAATACTCAGTGATCGAGTTAAAAACCTCCAAACAACACAGATCTAAAATAAACCTCCCAGAGTGATCAACATCACCACCAGCTCTATGTATAGATCAGGTATACAGTGTAATCCATTGTGACATGTTCTTAATTCTTTATTGTCAAGTCAACGTCTAGAAATTTCAGTCTTTAGAATGATAGGAAAATCTTGAGTCAGACAGTCTAATGGCCTATGGGTATATTTTACTGTAGCGCATATTATCACCGTGTATGGTTATAATTTGTAGAAGAGTTAATAATCAAATGTAATGCACTCGTCTTTCTTTATATAATGATACAATTATTATTCTTTTAAGGGGGCCGACTATAGTTTTATTGTGTGAAAACTACAATAGCGAAACTCTTCATTTTTATACCATATATAACTTACATTAACTTCAGTGTACCTGCAAAGTTTGGGGGATCACCAGGTATTTTTGAGGGACCGTCTCAAAATACAGGTCTATGTTATATAGAAAATGCCAATTTTTTGCTTTACACAGTGTAATCCAAAAAGGAACGCATTGTGACATGTTCTTTAATTCTTTATTGTCAAAAATTCCAGTCCTTTAATTTCAAACAGTCTAGTAAATCATGGCTGCTAGTCTTTAGAATGTTATAGGAAAAATTTGAACTCATAAAAACAACACAATTTTACATCCCCAATTGAATAATTACTTTAAAATTAAATTATAAGTGACTCTAATTCTTGGCCAAATTATCGAGTCTTTTTAATGGCCTATGGGTATATTTTACTGTAGCGCATATTATCACCGTGTATGGTTATAATTTGTAAATTAGAAATTTTTACTTTTATAATCAAAATATGTAATGCAAATGAAAACATAATAAAAATCTTTCTCAAATTTCTATAAATTTCAAGAGCGTATAAATAATATATTTATTAACCCTTTTTTAAAGAGCTAAGATTATCAAACGTCAAAAACAAAACGACGACAACCTACCTAAATTGCAAAATCGGTGAAAAAAATCAGTTATATCAAATTGTAATTAAAAAAATTTCTTAATTTTGTTTAATTTTAATAATTAAGCGAAAAAAGTTGCATTAAAACAGTAAATACGCTTCATTTTACTATGATGCGCGAAATATTGCGCAATGGAAACCATAGTCAGCCCCCTTAATTAAAAAAAACCAAGAGTATAACTTAAAAAAGAAGGGTTTAGTCAAAGGGATTGTCCAAGATACATATGTAGTGCATGTATGTCTGCTATATAAAAGAAAAAGTAATTCCTTGTTAAGTAAGTTTCAAAACTAAACATTTAGTATATCTACTGAGATTACCCTGTCATTGAAAGTTTCACCATCAAGCTAAGGTCATATTTAAAATTTAAAGATGAATTTCTTCTATATTTTTGTGTAAGATCTTATCAATAAGTCATTGAAATATACAGTTTCATTTCCATCAAGTGATAGACTATCGAGCTGTTTTCAAAGCAAAGAGTGAATGTATGTCAACTATATTTCATATTTAAAATCTAAAGATAATGAATTTCTTCTATATTATTTGTGTAAGATCTTATCAATATATGACTTGTTCAATGATTCTTATTGATATAAATTGGAGAGGAGGCTTTTTGATATCATAGCTTTATCAATAAGCTTCCAGTCTTCCTCAATAAAAGAGGAGTTCGTTATTATCAAGATCTTGTGATTGGTCTTCAATAATTTTGATTTTTCAAACAAGTATTATGGAAGTTTATATTATTACCAACAAGAATTTGAATTACTATACCCATTATTGGATTCCAGACTCCATAAAATCCCTAACAAACATATTAATAGCAGGTTCCAGTAAATATTGTACCAAGCCTCTTTAATCCTCACTAAACTGTAAACAGTAGGGAAGAAGAAACTTCAAGAGTACTGTGCAATGTTATATTTGAGAAGTGATTTTGATCAGATGTGGATACTTAAAATTTTCTAGAAACTTTTTCGGGAAATATAAAATAACAAAATTTTAATAAAATCTACAGCATAAAAAACTTACGACTTTTCAACTTTTTATACAACCATTCTTTAAGATGAATTAAAGCCAGTCCATGCTTTTTTATAACGTTGACAGCTGCTTTTTCAATTAAAACGGGACTCGTAAATTTACTTACCTTGTCATTGGTATTTGCAAAACTATTTGTAAAAAAACATTCTGATTGTACACAGACGTACTCTGAAGCTGATATTAAGAAGATGGTTAAGTTTCTGATTGACTATATCTATGTGGTTGTTTGGAGACCAGGTCTTCTAATAATCTATTGCAAATCCAATGGATTTCAATATTGTGGCTCGTCATTGGCAGACCTATTTTGTTTTCATATGATATAATAAAGCAAAACTTGTTTATATTCTTATAAGTAAAAAGATACATCTACGACGTATTGTCACTTCATAATGGTTATTTCCATTCGATATATATCCTAGTGAGCTTGAAATAAAACATACTACAGAGTTTGACACATGTTTCTTATTATGATATTTTACTTGTAAAAAAACGTTAATGGTAATACTATAATCAAGCTTTATGATAAATGTGATAACGGTATTCTTTTTCAACTTCCTTTACTTATGCAGCAATAATAACCTCCTTTTAGAAATGGCACATACGTAGAACATGCTCTTGCTTACCGATAGATATAAACTCCGTATGCAGTTGATGAAGGTATATTGTAATTAAGGGAAATTGACGAGTGAAAATTTTGAAGCCATAATGTTTATCATAGAGCTTGGTTGTTATATTACGTGTACCATTAACATCTTTTTCTTGTAAAATATCCAAATATGAAACAGATGTATCAAACAAAAGAAACATATTTGCAATTTAAACATTGCTTTTTTACTAAAATAATTCATGTGCAAGTTATAATGGCATTGGGCATTGGAAAAAAAACTAATATATTCCTGCATAAACCTAAAATTTCACAATGTGGTGACTTTTTACAACACCTCTCGCATAGATAAGTTCTGTTTTTTATTTTTATTTTTTTGTCTATTGGTATTATTCCGCTATCACACGCACTTTGCGTGTATGTCTCCCAACTTGGGTCGTATCTCGACCAATCATAAAGCTTTTTTATAATAAATTTGACTACAAATATAATGTATATCTTCATAATCAGTGGATTGGGCTCAAGGTGGGTGTGACTAGTCGACAGGGATGTGTATTTTGATAATCCCCGGGACCTTCTTTTACCTGTGGAATTTCTATTAAAAACTTGGGTTTTTTTTTTTCGATCACTGTCTATTATCTTACTTTTTTTTATTTAAGTGTATATGTTTTTGCTAATGTATACATATCATTGTGCTTTAACAAATTTACAAGAATTTCTTTTAAGTTTTCTTTTTGATTATTTTCAGACACTTATGTACAGCTGCCTTTACCTTTTCGTGATTTTCTGTGAACTTAATTTTGTTTTAGGACAGCCTCCTCCAAGTAAGAAAATTTTACAATATTGAGATATACTCCCTGTATTGCAAAAAAAATGTTTAGAGATGAAATAAAAAGTGAAAAGATATCCTTGCTTAACCTAAATCATCAATTCATTTATATATCGAGAAACAAACTTACAAATGATTATTTAAAGCAATCTTACCTAATTTAAATTAATTATGTGATGACTAACAAACATTGATATTAATGCATTGTTCACAGATTTGAATCGTTTGTTGATTTTTTTAAATCGGTTTCTGACCATGTTAATTATCTTTATTTTGAATTCTTTATTAAATCCCTACAGTTTTTAGCTTTAATGCCAGAAGAGGAACGGTATGCAGATTAAATGAATTCCGCTGTGGTAACGGGACATGTATACCTACAGAATGGACGTGTGACAAAGATCAGAACTGTCTGGACGGCTCGGATGAATCCCCCTCCCTCTGTCGTAAGATCTATTGTTTATATATTGTCAAAACTAGTATATTGATTTTCATTTAAGGACACTTAATATATTGTTTTAGAAGATTGCTTGATTATTTTTGTGTTGTCAATATTAAATTATAAATTTATATTATCATTTTTCTTAATTACAGATGGAAATTCACTTGAAGGTAAACATAATATTTTATGCTATGTTGAGGACATTTAAGTTTTTTAATATATTTAATTCAGCCACAAATTTTGTCTGCAAGATTTTAATGGTAGTTATTTCCAGCAAGTTCTTATTCTAGTTTAATCTTTTATCTTGCTGATATGTTCTGTATTGTTTTAAATGTTGGAAATCAAACCCCTTTCTGTAGACTTTAAGTTTAACGTCGAACAAATTTATTTATTTTTTAATTGATTTAGAAGAAATGAGAGTTTATATTCAAAGGGAAGTAACTATTTAATACATTCTTGAGTATAATCTGAGGTCTGAAGAAAAAAGATATCCGGTAACTCATGAAATGACACTTCATTTATTTATGTTAAAATCGAACTTAAAAATTTTATTATCATTTTTGCATTATGTAGCAAAAATGAAACGCGTATAAGGGAACTTGATTTTTAAGAACAACTTTTTGTTTGAAATGACCAAAAATTTCTGGTTAAGCATCTGAATATGAATAACTTTCACTCAGGCCTAGCATACTGAGTTTAAGTTTGAACACGTGCATATATTTTACATTCATTGTTTTAAAAATTTAATTACAACGCAGCAACAAAGAAACATAGAAGAGTATGTTATTATACAAACTGGGCGCAGTACAGAGAGGCTCCAGCTCGATTTACCCCCGAGGACATTAGGCCCGAGTTGTGCAGCCACTTGATATACGCCTTTGCCAAACTAGAAGGTGCTCAGATAGAGACAAGCGAATGGAACGATCCACAGATGTAAGACATTTAGCATCAATTTATTATTTTACAATTGGTAAAATGTAAGAAACATGATGGTGTAATTGTTCTCTGTAGCTATTTATATCTACCTAATTTGTGAATACTTCATCGGTCTTTATTTTGTTTGAATATTATTGATCCCGTAATTTTTTCAGGTATGAAAGATTTAACAATCTGAAAAATAAGAACAGAGAATTGAAGACATTACTGGCAGTTGGAGGTTGGAATGCTGGCAGTAAGGCATTTTCTCCAATGGTTGCTTCAACAGAGAATAGATTGCTGTTTGTCAATTCAGCTATTGATTTTCTACGAAAGTACGGCTTTGATGGATTAGACTTAGACTGGGAGTACCCTACAAGACGAGGGGGGAGGCCAGAGGATAAAGAGAATTTCGCTAAATTGGTTAAGGTAACCAAAAACACAGTGGGACAGAATTTTATTAGATCTTTACTTTTAGTTAAGTAAAAGTGGTTTTTACTTTCTACCAGTGCTAATTCAACAAAAAGCATTACGATTTTCCCTTTGTTTTAAGCTTTTACGGGAGGCGTTCGATCGGGAAGCTCAGCAATCAGGTAAACCACGCCTTCTTCTGTCAGCCGCTGTACCGACCAGTAAAGAACTCGTGGACCAGGCTTATGATATAAGGACTCTAGCCAAGTATGTCTAAATACAAAGATAGAACAATATGAAATATAAAATATCAAGCTAAAAAATCATTAAACAATACAAATCAGGAGCAGACCAAACGCAGACCTCTAAAACATCAGAGGTGGAATTAGGTGCCATGAAGGATTGAGCATCCCTTGCCCTAAAACTGCATAAACCCAGATATACCAGTATTATCTGGAAAGCTATTTCATCCATTCCTTATAATGAGAAGGATATGGAGATAACGAACAGTATTCAATCTCAAAGTCCATAAAACAATACAAAATAGGAGCAGAGCAAACATGGACCTCCGAGACATCAGGGGTGGGATCAGTTGCCATGGAGAAGTGAGCATCCCCTGTTTACCAGTCACATCCGCCGTGTGTTCCTTGACATGATCAGGAAAAAAGGAATAATCCGTCGTCAATTCAGTGTATAAATAATGGACTAACAATTAGTTAGGAAAACGTCAGTCGGCATTTGACTCAATGATAAATTGTATTTGCTGACAAGGTCATTGTATCGACCATAGAACTTACGAAATGATGACTTTAAACGAGACTGCTGATATTCTTGTTTCATCAACTTGCTTGTCGTTAATCTACCTCGTTTTAGAAAATTTTTATACGTAGATCATGCTCTTGCGTATCGAATCAACTAAGATATATATACTCAGTATGCAGGTGATGAAGGTATATCTGCATTTAATTTTCCATTATGAAGTTTTCCCTGGTATATTGAAATTAAATCAAATTATCATTTAACAATGTTTAAAATGCCTTCAAATAGCATTTATTTACAATGTAACGTCAAGCGGATTGGTACGTTTTTGACGTAAGTCCTTGTGATGTAGGAAACACAGGTATAGACTAATAACACGATAAAGACTAATTTTTTTTTATCTAGTCAGATGATAAAAGCGTAAACAACCATTACCCAGGTTATACAGTATAACATGGGTATCTATGAAATTCATACCTTAAAAATGTTTCCTAGTTTCTGTTGTTAAAATCGCTTAAGTAAAAGTAATGTTTTATATTTCCAGGCATCTTGATTTTATAAATTTGATGACGTATGATTTTCACGGTGGATGGGAGAGCACAGTGGGTCATAATAGCCCACTATACAGTCGTCGGTCAGAAACGGAGACCCAAAGAACAATGAACACGGTAAATATAATTACACGTACCTTCAGATTTTATTATCTGATTTTTTTGGGTTACTTTTAAAATAAAGGTTAAATGTATTTCCAGTTATTTTTCAAAAATGAAAACTTTTGAAATAAAATATTTAGTATATTTATTTGGCAATGAATGAGCAAATTAAACTTATTTGTTTCAAAATTTTAATAAAATAAAAGTAGTTTGATATTTGAACTGAAAAACGCCAAAGCATTTTAAACATCCACGTATTTTTTCTTAACCTAAAATATTGCAATAAATTATCAGAACTGGGCCGCTAATTATTGGACACAGAATGGTGCACCCAGAGATAAACTTAACATTGGGATAGCCACGTACGGAAGAACGTTCACACTGGCCGACCCTCGAAATGACCGGCACATTGGCGCATCAGCCGTGGCCCCAGGGCGCCCAGGCCAGTATACAAGAGAAACCGGATTTCTGTCTTATTATGAAGTAATTGCTTCGAACGGATTTCAGATTACAATAACTTGTTAAAAATAGGAAATGCAAAAACAGCATAATCCCAGCAACGTTTGACAAGATAAATCTTAATGATTATGAATGATTTAATGCCTTTTCATTTATTAATAAGTGCTCGTATTTCTACAAAGGTTTGTCAGATGCAAGACAGACGGAAAGGCAAAATACACAGAGACGAGGAGCAAAGTGTGCCTTATTACGTCACTGGGAACACGTGGGTGGGATATGATGACATTTACAGCGTCAAAAATAAGGTGAGCTATTGAACAAGTTTGATTGAAGAGAACATTGTAAACCATAATTTAAAAGAAAAAAAATTCAAAACACATCCAAGTTTGTCAATTTGTTTTCCACTCTAAGGCAAAATGGATTCTACAAGAGGGCTATGGAGGCAGCATGGTGTGGTCGTTGTCGCTTGACGACTTTAACAAAATGTGTTCAACGTCCTCTAGGACGTACCCCTTGACTTCTGTTATTTCTGAAACATTACAAGCAGATCGTTTGTCTAATTTTCCATCTACTACAACCACAAGCACAACATCAACTACCATGGCCACAACCACAAAAGCAACAACAACAGAAGTTACTACCACAGAAGCCACTACCACTACCACCCCCAGCACTACTACCACCACCACAACAACAACAGAAGCAACCACAACTACGGAGGAACCATCGACATTACCGCCTTTCATTAACACCCTACCACCGCCCATTGTGACACCACCGAACATCAGAGTTTCCTCACCTCCCCCGCCAAACAATATCACCATCATAATACCAAGACCAACACCGAGCCCTGTAATGCAGACAACAACAGGACAAACTGATGGAGAAACAACCACCATCAGACATATTAAAGTTACTGTTAGATACAAAAAAATGCCATTCTCTTTTAACTCTATAAATAGAGTTTTTCGACCACAAACCTCGACACGTGGACCAAGTCGGGCGTTTAGAACTACAGTGAGGGAAGTTACACCGTCACCATTGCCCAAAGTTACAACTAGAAAACCACCGTCATTGAACAGAATATTCCCGACCAGAAAAACTACAACAGAGACACCAACCCCAAGAGGACTGGAACAGGTCAACCTGGTGCTTACACGTACTGGCATTCTAAGTAAGTGACTAGTTTGGGTAGCTATCTCGTAAAGATTGGAATGATTGTTAGTTTTGAGCAATGTTAAGCATGATAGTCTCTCTCTTGCAGAGAAATCTCCTCTTTGGTTACATGTAACTGAAAGGAAAATTTACCCACAGTATATTTGTAAGTTGGAAATAATTTGCCTAAACGTCATTTTATAGCACAGATTTGGAATATGGAGATCATAAGTTGATGGTCAGGGTGCACACCTGGACACTATTTTTGATATAGCCTATAATGCACAATTCTTTGATCATTGATATAGATACATAAATTAGTTCTATGAATATTTCCTTTCCTCTTTGAAAGAACAAGATTTTACGCCTTTAACAAGTCTCTGCATCATTATAGCCTTCACTATAGGGGCCAAATTGTATGCAAAAATATTTCTTCCTCCATATGACTACCAATTTAGATATATTTTAATGAAAGTTGGTAAATGAAATGGTCCATTATCCTGAATATTTTTATTGTTATTGAGACAGCTGTCAATTGCATGTTAAAATAAAAGTTGAATATTTTCCTCAATTTAGGGAAAAAAAAAATTATGGAGTCCAAGCTTTTGTATAGCATGAAGATGTTTGCCTTGTATGTTCATCTCATCTATTGCTGTCACGGTGTTCGGTTCATGTCGAATATGTTAATCGGAGGATTAATGTTTCATAATTAACTCCTGTCCTCTTACGTCTAAGTAAAAAAATTAAATATTTGATAACCGTCACAGCTTTTCTTATGGACATGCACACAAATAACGAACCATAAAAGTTTAAATTTAACTTCCAACTTGAAAAAAATTTTCAAAAAATTTGTCAAATACTTTATTTTTCTAACATAAAGGAATTTTGTTTTTTGAAGTTTTTAATGGTGGAGTGATTTTTATAAATTCTTCAGGCAACGGAATAGCTTGAGGTTTATTTATTTAATTATAATGCAAAGTAAACTAGTTTTCTTTTCAATTACAGACTATTTCAATTGTCGAAGAAGAAGAAATGGTTATTACACTGATGTAAACGATTGTTCAAAATACTATGTGTGCCAAAGTCAGAGAACATTCCATTATAAATGTCCAAAGGACTTATATTACAATCCGCGCAAACAGATCTGTGACTGGATCACAGCTGTGGACTGTGCCAGTCCGCCCAGGAAATAGTCCGGTGGGAGATGTATTGATGTGCTTGAATATGAGTAAATTTAATATTTCTATTTAAAACGTCCAATAATTTTTACTGTTATTGTAAAGTTTGAAAAAAAATGCTATAGGCTAATTGATCCAATTTAACAAAATAAGATGGCGAAAGATTATAAATATGCAACTTACATTATTTTCAAAATATTTGTCAAAATAGTTGATAATAGACATTGAAATGGGAGGGTACAATTCGGCTTGAAATTAAGTCCGAAATTCATTTTCAATCCATTTCAGCTACTCTCATACGCACAGAATTGGTAATTGATCTTAAAGAAAAATCTGTCATTTCGGAATAGTTTTTAAAAAAAACATAAATCAGAGTTTTCTGTCAAATATTTTTAAAGAATATATTGTGTCAATAAGAGGACAATCACTTGAATATGAAATAATCAAAGATTACACGTTCATCATCTACGAACCTTTATCTTTAACTATAACGTTTCCGTGTCTTTAAAAAAAAAGGTTGGATAGAAAATTCTAATCTACAACAATTTCAACCTATTTGGGAAGTGAGATTATTTGTTGCTTCTATCACATACTAACACTTGAGCAGTAAAATTGCTTATTTCAATGTGACGTCCTCGTCGAGTTGTTTCTGCCCATTTCATTAATTGTCTATCATCAAAGAGTTTGACTGTAACATATATAAAATGACACGAGCTGCATATTTCTTATATTTACAGTTAATGTTTCGCGGTCTAAACACTTGTAATATATATGTCATAATAAGAAGCAACGTTTATAAATAAAATTTTAACATCCAATATTGGTGAAAATTAATAATTTAATAAGAGTAGAATTAAAACCGATTTTCTTTTTGTTAACATGAATATTAAATCAGAAAAGTAAAATACATGTATTTATTATCAATGTATTACCCCTCTTTTGACCATTAGACAACTTTAATTTTTTCTACATTTTTCATGCCGGAAAACATGGTGGACATTCTTTTGTCTTATAATCTTTCTTTTATTTACATTCAGCTAGTGGTTGCTTTGTTAATATGTAAATTATATTTTTGGCGAAAGTTTATCTAGGGCTTTGTGGATACAAAAATTCTACCTTGTTTGAGAATTATGAAAATTAATGTCCCTCGATCATTATTTATCGAAATGTTTTGGAATTTCCCTAATAAGGAACATATAAACGCAACGTACATGTACAAACTCTACAATGTACCATTCCCACTGATAATTGCTGAGAAATTCACAATTAAAATCACAGTACTATAAAATGTTCTTGCACGAAAAAAAAAATCATACATTACGAGGAATTTTGACCAGATATATATTTATGGAAATCATAATATTTTTTATACAAAAATTAACAACCTTTATATTTGAACAGGAAATAAGAAATTCAAGTCCAAAACTAATTTGCATATGTTCCCCAGCATAATAAGCGTTTTCTTTATGAAAACAGGGACATGATCAAGGAAGATTAAACCTTCGAGATAAAACACATTGGGTTAGATTTTATCAAATCCCTAGCATATACCGCCTAACGTATTTACGATGATAAACAATGTTTGAATAAAAATCCAAATTAAAGGAAAGGAAGAATTTGATTTTGCTGTTGTCAAAATAAAAATTGTTACATACATATATTTTCTTTGTTTTTGTAAATTATTTAAAACTGAAAGGACATGAAATATTGAGTATTCAAGATGAGGAAAATAAAATATTTTTTCCCATTGTTTTAAAAACATCCTCCTTGTGCAAGGTTTGCATTGTACGAAGCCTGATATACTCATTTCTGACAAAAAAATATACATGATAACAAGTCAAATATTTTGTTACAAAAAGAAAAGTATTTTATAGTTAGTATAACAAGATAACTACTCGTTATTCATTGAACAAGCCTTTTATTCTTATCTAACAAGTAAACTGAATCGTTTAAGATCTTTTCTTATTAACCCAAAATGAGCTTATCCGGAGCATTGCAACCATGATTTAAAAAAAAAAAAGATTCGAATAATGCTTTAAAGGATTTAATTGCTTGAAGCTATATATATGACATATCGATCTGAGCTAAAATAAGAAATAAAAATATGTGTAATTAATTAAGTGTAGATTTACATATTTGTTATTTACGTTCAAATTCAAATTTTCACCCATTTTGAACTTAAATATCCCCATGTTTCTATAGTTAAATTGACTTTTAACTGTGTCTGCTATTTAATTCCGATCCGGAAAGAAAAGGGTTGTTTTAAATCTGTGATATCTATGGAACGGGTTTGAATTAAATTCTGTAATTTACCAGAAAGTCCTATCTATATATGAAAAAAAGAAACAAATAGAAAGATCTTTTTAATTTTAGTTAGTTTGAATGTAACAATATATATATATATATATATATATATATATATATATATATATATATATATATATATATATATATATATAAATGCTACAAGAAAAGGAGAAAATACCTCAACAAACAATACAAATCTGTTAAGTGGGCAAAAAAACAGGGATCCCTGGAGTTTCCAGAGGTGAGATCAGGTGCCTCGGAGGAGAAAACATTCCCTGTTAACCGTCCATACCCATCGGGAGCCCTTTCTATTGATCAGGTGGATGGTGCATACCGTAGTAAAATTTAGTACAAACTCTGACTTGAGATGTGGCAAACTATGACTTAAAGAGATGTGATATTGGTTAAAGTTGCATTATATCGACCATTGAGTTCTAAAAAATGCCGAGGTTGTTGAAATCTCTGTAGAAGCAACTTATGTGTCTTTTCTGCATGCTTGCCTCGACTTAGGAATTGATTTTTGTCATAGCATGCTCTTAAGTATTGAATAGGATAGGGGATGTAAACACTAGGTGATAGTGGGATATTACGACAGGAGAAGGAAAGTTGATCATCTCGTTTGTCTTACAAATTAGTTGTTAGTTGGCCTCTTTTGTTTATAGTGCTTTATATATATATATATATATATATATATATATATATATATATATATATATATATATATATATATATAGTACATCGTCGAACTATCGAAATGTTGAATTGAAGGCCACATTGTTTTGCTTCTTCTCTTGTAAAACATTTTGAATAAATTCTGCTTCACAGGAATTTAAAAATAGTACAGCTTATAACTTTGTAATTTGAAATAAAAAATGCTACATGAAAGGAAGAAAATATATCAACAAACAATACAAGTCTATGAAGTGGGCAAAAAAACAGTTAAAATCAACCTTGTCAATAAAACCAGAGTGATTTTCAACAAAGCAATTTTGTTGATAACCAATTACATAAAAAATTTCAGAATTCCATTTTTTTATTGAAAGGATCAGTTTTTTATGATAACAAAAGTCTATTTTTAATCACAAAGAATGTTTTTATGAGATCTATAAAAATCTTATGTTATAAAGTTTTTGGCTTTTGATTTTTTTTTTCTAAAAGTTAATAGGGATTTGAGAATCTATATCTGATATACTCCAATTTATTTTACTACATGTTTTGACAATTAAAGTTGAACATTTTTTATAATCATCTCGATTACCTTTCATTTCAACATCTCGACATTAGGTACTCCTACTCTATACAGAAATAACTAAAACGGATTGTATGGAGCTTCAAAGAGAAATATTTCTTCGTATTTGGAATTATAAGAATCTTTTCCTTAAAAGTCATGCCTTTGTACTCATAAACGTAACACAAAAGTGCTTACTTTATTAAATTTATGAGTACAAATGCACGAGTTTACATATCGATAAATTCTGGAAAAAAGAACGTGTAATACTATATTTTTCAAAAACAAAAATCAACTTACGAAAAGTTCTTGTCTTTTCCATTCATTATCATTAATCATAAAAAAAATTTCACAGCTTTATGTAGACGAACAATATGAAATGTTTATGTGAGTAGTATATAAGGAATAAATGAGTCTAATCTTAATTTTTGGATTAAATGAAATATGAAAATACGAACATTTATCAAACTCATACTCTGCTTTTAGACGCTCGTGTTTGCTCTGCTCCAAATTTGTATTGTATGAATGGACTTTTGAGTTTGATTAATATATTGTTGCATACAACTCCTGAAGTTTCTCCTTCACTGCTCTTAATATTTTAGCGAGGTGTAAAGAGAGAGACCTTGGTAGAACTTTTACTGGAACCCGCGATGTATCTTTCTATGAAATATCGGAATCCAATATAGAAATGGTAATTTTGAATTAACTTTGGTTGTTGTTATATTAAAAAAAGTACTAGTTAGCATTCAAAACCAACATATGATTTTGAAGAATTTCCTTCTTCGAATGGGAAAATATCAACTATATGTATTACCTTATGGGGTTATTTAAGATTTGCCCTACGCTTTCACAAATTAACCTAATTTTTCCTTATCATCGGGAAATGAATTAATTGGGAAGAAATTATAAAATAATAATTTTAAAAAAAAACCAGCTCTCCAACTTGTTTGCTACAATTCCGCATGAAAGAATATGTATCAGCTCTATGTACGGAGGGAGTAATATGTGTTCATGCATCGAATCTGTCATAAGAACTCTGATAAAAATCTTGGAAATTTTTTCTGGCTTTTGCCATGAGATTTAATAATTTAAGATATATACATGTATTTCATTTTCAAAATTTTAAGTTAATTGTTAAAACGTACCCATTTCATCAATAAGGAATGAATTTATTCTGGAGGAAAAATTTTCATAGTTTAAAAATATAATTTCAGCAAGATTTTAAAAGTGAAGCTTCTTATCATACTCATATCTGTTTTTGTGTTCCTTGCTATTTTTACACAACTAGATTTATACTGCATTTCGAGATTATTCATTGCACATTAATAATTATGGAAATTTTGGTTGTAAAATGGAGTTTGAACTGTTGAGCTAAAATGATACATCCTCTTTGTAATAACCTGGTTCCTCGTCACTTCATGTAGATTAAATATTATTTATAAATAAGGGTATCGGGTTGGCTGTGCGGCAGATATAATGACCATTTGTTTAACAGAACTCTCGACATCTGATCATAAACGCCAGTCTGTATCGAGCCACCTACATGGGAAGGCGTGTGTTACATTATTTATAAAAAGCCGTACGTGGGTTTTACATGATTCAAGAGAATGATGGCGATCTACAATGAGGAAGTCTAATACAATGATAACATGGCGTTTATAAAGTGGACAGAAGTTGATCTGAAAATGTGAAATTAAGGAATGTCACAAAATCAGGGACAGGAATGTCGCAGAATCACCTTTTATTGACCGTAATTTATTTGACCTATATCTGCCTTACAGGTAAGCAGCTATTTTGTTCGTTAACAGGTAACAAAGTATGTGATGCATGCAAACTTTATATTTTCGTATTTTTTTGAAAAATAAAAACAACAGATATAGAAAAACTAAAGCAATCATATAGGGTAACATAGAGAATATCACTAAATATTTTAAAAGCTTAATATTTAAATGTATGTCTAACAGACTATCTCATAGAGAAATAATTATTATATTTAATGTATTGCTAATGCTAGAAGGGAAAACAATTGAAATGTAAGTAAATGACTCGAACATATTTAATAAAAGAATCTTTAGATTTTCTTATAATGTTATAGAGGATAGGTTTGACGTGATGAAAACCAACTTCAAATTATTAATCGACATAATTAAATGTTGATATTTGCTTTTGAATCAAAATTGTTATCTAGTGCAGTGATTTTGGAATTTTTTCCACTGTTAATCTAGGGTGCGGTCATTTTATCATTATGTTTGATAACTTTGTCATCGCCGATGACATTTAAGGCTTGACTTCCCACTACATGCCTTTAACACGACTTATCGACGAGTCAGTTCCTTTCAAAATTCGCATCATTATAAGAAACGCAAAACAAAGTAAACACCTTTCGTAGAATTCGTTATGGAAACTAGAATTTTCTCACACAAGTCAATCTTAAACTTAGAGGTCACTTATACACGGTATCTTGTACTTACAACAATTTTTTCACAATTATCAGTTATTCATTAAGGAAACAATGATTAAGCCTGTCTACAAAATTACACGTTCCGAGAAAATCTACAGCTATATAGTATATGTCAATGTATTGTGTCTCACGATTTTCTGCATAAACACAAAAAAAGTTTGAGGTACATTAACAATAAAGATATCCGTTTTCACGCTATAATACTCAAGTATCAGAGACGATGTAACAAAAACTGTATTTATAGTCATAGGAAAAAGACACTTATAAATCTGGTCAATGTAATCTTCTTGCTATAAATCTCCACTACTGTGCAAATTATATATGTTTACAGATGATGGAGAATAAATATTCTTAGGATTTTACAACTGTCCTCAAAAATTATCACTTAAGGCAAATACACATGAAACATAGTAGGGATATTTTGTACATAGTGTTTGATATGGTATATGTTTGAAACACTTACCTAAAAAACTAATAGGTATTTCAAGTGGGTTTTCTCAGTTATTAATCGAGTACAATTACACTGAAAGAGAAAAAAATATTTTTAAGAAAATCAATAACACATGTAATATGCATGGTATTTATCTTATTTCAGTGTTTTATTGTGTATATTATATATATTTTTATTCATATAATTGACTTGTTCGTATCTATATTATAGCCAGTGTAAAATATAAAAGAGTGTGTTATTACACAAACTGGGCCCAATACAGAAATGGTATCGCCAAATTCGAACCCAGTCATATCGACCCAAATTTGTGCACGCATATCATTTATGCCTTTGGAAAACTTGAAAACAATGATATCACCAATTTTGAGTGGAACGACGACAAAAGGTAAATTTAATACCATAGCAATTAATAGATAATGGAAATATGAAATATTATGAAATTATGAGTTTTAAATGTTAGTGCAATTAAACTACTTTTGCACCAAAAAAAAAAAAAGAAAAAATATACAACTTTTTTTCATGTAAAGAATCATATTCTGATGACAATCAACTTCGATATCAAATTGATATAATTTAGTCAGTGATCATATATTATGTATGTAAGAATCTTTAAGAATATTGGAGAACATCGACTGGGATTAAAATTTTATATTAATCTGATTTGAAGTTTAAAGATAACATACAATTGCAATTTTGGGTAATCCGGTACAACCCTTCCCACATCAACGACGCCCATTATACCTAAATATTTGCCATCTAGAATCAAAAATAATTTTAGAATCTTTGCGTTGTTTCTGTTCCCTATAAAAAAAAGCTAGTATAGTCAGTTATGACGCTATTGTGTTCAAAGAAGTGAATGCATCAGGTGGTTGTGAATGATCGATGTGTTTACAATGTATAACTTTACAGCACACAGGGGCCAAGGACATGGTTGATATTTAACAGGCTTTCTTTTTTCATCCATCTTGAATGCTGCCAAGACATTAGCTAATTTCTAATCATCTGGCGCTTGACCTTGGTCAATGGATGCCTGACTCTATAGGTCTATATAGCAAAACAAAGACCAATGAGTCTTTATTCTGCTTACAACTAATTTCAGTACTGTAAATTCGTGGTAGTAAATGTATCAAGTTAATAACAGCAAACTTGGAATAAGCGATAATTGGATCACCTGGTCGGTCCTTCCTTGCAAGAAACTGGAAGTTGTCTAAAAGGATGATTCCCTCTTGTAACCAAGACTCCGTTGCAATAATTTCAGGCTCAGTATTTGACAATAAGTTCCAAAAGACTTTGGCTTTGATGCTTTGGAAGTTAACGATGGTGATACACAATCTTGTTTGTAAAAAAATCCTGTTTGGGGGCTCTGTTAGAAACTTATGGTGTCCATTTGTGTTTGTGTGTTTGGGGTGTCAGGGCCAAAATCAGACGTCAAATATATGTCACGGCAAGCTATATCTTTGTTCAATGGCGGTAATTTCAATATCCTTAAGAGTCTAGTTTTGAAAGTTTGGGAATCTACAATGTCATCCTTACATTCGCATAGGATACAAAATGATCTATGCATTCCTATATATAACTGACAAAAGAATGATTTTTGACCGCATGAAAAACCAGCCGATTTGAATTCGTTTTTCTTGGAAAATACTACCATGATTCCTTCACACATGGCGCCTGCTCCCTTATATTACATAGGTGATGGACAAGAAGGAAGGAATTCACAAGTAGATGGATGTAGAAAACTTCACAGATACATGAAATCCACTTTTTCAATTTTCAGGTACGCCGAAGTTAATGCTTTCAAGAGAACAAACAAGGACCTAAAAGTCCTGCTGGCAATGGGCGGTTGGACAGCTGGGAGTAAGCCATACTCAGACATGGCTCTCACTTCCGCTTCCAGACGAACTTTTATAGGCGGCGCCATAGCCTGGCTCCGGAAGTATGATTTTGACGGCCTCGATATGGATTGGGAGTATCCTGCGAACCGTAATGGCCGTCCAGAGGATTACCAAAATTTCCCCACCTTACTACAGGTAAAAAGGTCCAACAGGAGAATTGATAATGACATATATGTACTTATAAAGATTTAATGTGAATGAATATAATATTTTAGATAAAGATTTTTCCTTCTTTTTAAAAGTTAACTTTGTTCTTTGATAACTCTGATACTTCACTAGTAAATTGTTTTAATCATTATGATTTTAAGAAAAAATTATAGGTCACAAATCTGTTTTGGAAAATATTGGGAATAATTTTTAAAAAAAAAAAATTTATACATTCTATCAATGAAATCTAAACTTAACGTCTTATAGTTTTTTTAATAACAGTTACATGATTTGTTCGATTTGCAAGTTTATTTTCAACATGAAATATTCGTTTCACAAGAGGAAAGCGTGTCAAGCCTGTGCAACCTTTATAGAAGCACATGCCACAAACTGGAAGTAAAAAAAAGACTTTTAAGGGGAAGTCATGTTACTGATCGTTACCATAAATGATACTCTGTATAACAAGCCTCACTAGGGGGCGCTAGGGGTTCACTAGATTTAATAGTAAGCATACATGTACACACGAATACAAACATACAATATACATGTGAAAATAACATTCATTGTAGAAAATGATTTAGTTTGGGTTTGCAATTTAAAAATAACAAAACAGAACAGAACATTGATATTCTTTCTAATTCAATAGTATGAAATTATTATGATAAAGAAAAGATATGACATCGAACAATAAGTTAATAGCATTGCTCATTTCAAGGGTACCTGTAAAGTGCGAAACGAAATATAAACGAAACGAAACGAAACGAACTGAAACGAAACGAAATCTGCCGAAACGAAACGAAATCTACCGAAACGAAACGAAACCTACCGAAACGAAACGAAATCAAAACGAAACCTGTCGAAACGAAACGGGGGGGGGGCTTAACCAACAAAAAAGTTCAACTCCAATTTTCAATGCCTATATAATAATATATGTCTTTGCAAAAAAGTGGGGGGGGGGGGGTTAGACCCCCCCTCTTCTGACGCTTTTGTCATATTTTGCTAATGTCTTACTGAATAATTTACCTACTTAAAAATGACATCGTTCGCTTCGAGAGACTTTTTTCTTGTCAGTTAAATCGTTTTAGACGTCTCTGATATTATTGCAAACCACTCCTTTCTTTACCTCGATAAAAATAGGACCGTATGTATGTAGAAAGGATACACAAGGAGTTACATGTATAAATGAACGATAAAACCAGACACCTCGGAAATACTAAATACTCTAAGTCTTTGTTTATCCTATGTTTTAAGGCATTCGCAATACAACAGTACAGTGACTTTATTTCGACCCGTACATAATCGAGCCTTTACATGTATCACATCAATTTTGATACATATGTTGTATCTAGATAAATAAAGACTGATCGAAAATAAGAGTAAGATATAAACATTAGAAAATACTGCACACATTGAAATTATACGTGCATAGTACGCTCGTGCACATTTGCAGCTGGCAAACATGTAAATACTGAGACAGAGACTTAGACTGAGAAGGGAGCATAATTTATCGGTAATTAAATTTTATATTAACAAGTGCTTGAACTATATAAATTTTATTTGAAGTTAAAAAAAATGCCACATGCAGTTACACATACTAGTATATAATTATATAAATGTACCTTGATTTGAAGAAAAAAAAACATTTTGATAGTTTTGTTTCGTTTAGTTTCGGCAGGTTTCTTTTCGATTTCGTTTCGTTTCGTCTTGATTTCGTTTCGTTTCTGTAGGTTTCGTTTCGTTTAGATTTCGTTTCGTTTCGGCAGATTTCGTTTCGTTTCAGTTCGTTTCGTTTCGTTTCGTTTCTATTTCGTTTCGCACTTTACAGGTACCCTCATTTCAACAATATTTTTGTACTATTTCAGTTAAAAATTTAAGACTTTCATTTATAAATTTGCCCATAAGTTTCTTTGTCTTCAGTACTGAGTAAACAAAAAATTGTTTGTTCATTATCTAAGGCTGAGAAATTTAAGAAATAAAGTCCGCGTTTTCGTGAATGTTGCAGAATAACCTCCGAGGTCGAGAAATGTTGTTTGAAAGATAAAAGCCGAGGCGTTAGCCGAGGCTTTTATATTTCTAACATCATTTCGAGACCGAGGAGGTTATTCTGCAACATTCACGACAACAAGGACTTTATTTCTATTCTACCATGTATACTACAATCGCTAAATTACGGATGATCGTTTCCTCTATAGAGTAACGAATTAGGTCACCATGTCTCGATTACGCTGTTTCATTTAACACCAGAGGTAAAATTTGCTTGCTTACCTGTGTATAGAATGCAGACGATTTGAGCTTTCGTTACATTAAAAATAGCCTTTTTAAATTACAAATTTGTTCGTAATATGTATTGATCAGTTAAAATGAATTTACAATAACAAAATCATGTTCCTGTTTTACTGCTAAAATCACGTTGTTTAATGTGTAGGGAGGTCCGTGGAATAGCCCCGCTTAGCTATAAAAACCGACATTCATCAGCAACTTGATGCAATTTAGAGTGGACGACACATCGATGCGGTCTAAACAAGTATTTCATTCTACAGCCAAACATGCATTTGAATTGTTCAGATTTGATACGTGTTTCTGATCTGATAATTTTTTGATGACGTTGTGATTTATTGGAGAATAATGTCCGCCGGTTTCCTTTGATCTTTACAATAATCGTGGTAGAATTGGAAATAAACTGAAAAACCAGTTCATTATAAATTAGCCTTTATCTTTGCAGGAACTTTTAGATGCATTCAAACAGGAAGCCAAAACTAGCAACAAAAGTCGTCTGCTTTTGACAGCAGCTGTCGGTGTAGGGAAAGCCGTAGCAGACAGTGCATATAATGTGGGAGAAATGGCAAAGTAGGAAATTATTCAAAGTTTAATATTTGCATGTGACTTTAGACAATTTTTGAATTTCCTTGAATATGTCAACATAATTATGCAATTCGTACAGGTACTTAGATTTCATATCTCTGATGACATATGATTTACGTGGTGGTTGGGAAAAATTTACTGGATTTAACGCTCCACTGTACAAATCGTCTGCTGATACCAGCAATGAATTCAATGTGGTAAGGGTCTATATACAGTATATTATCTTGATTCTATATATTTTTATTCCTTATATACAGATTATGGTAACTCTCTGTAGTATAAACCTGCTTTTATGAAGTTTTCCAAAGTTCATAAGCCATAACTTGATTTGACTAATATAATGAAACATATGGAAATAACGAACAGTATTCAAGATCAAAGGTCCATAAAACAATACGAAATAGGAGCAGAGGAAACACATACCTCCAAAACATCAGAAGTGGGATCAGGTGCCATGGAGTACAAGGCAATAATATCTGAATGTAATGATTTTATTCCATCAATCTCATTTAAATACAACGATATAGGAAATCACAAAATAATTATTGCTTTTATCATTAACAAAGTTTGCTTTAATACAATCCATTGGCAAAGGTACAGGAAAAATATTAAACAGCGATGTCTTATGAACTTTCAAGCTGATACCAGCAGAGTAAAACGGTAGTCAAAGTAATTCCGTTACTTTTTCTGTAGGCATTGAAGCTCATCCTTAACTCTGAATTTCAACACATACGACGGCACCAGTTATTGCAATATTTTCTACATATTTGTAAAAGATAAAAATGACCAGGGTAGAACACAATTAAATCTTATCGTTCTCACAGTCATGTTATTTTTTCAGGACTTCGCTGTAGACTACTGGCTAAATAAAGGGGCTCCAGCAGATAAACTAGTCTTGGGACTGGCCACATATGGTCGCTCCTTCACGCTGGCTGACCAGAACAACTATGGAGTAGGTGCCCCGGCCACCGGACCCGGTCCACAGGGGAAATATGTGGGAGAGGCCGGATTTATGCCTTTCTACGATGTACGTTAATACTTTGTTATGATAATTTGTTACAACTATATATAAGAAGGTTCCGAACACTACCTTTGATTTTGTATTTCATCTTTTGTGAAAGTAGTTCTTGAGTCATTTGTAGTTCACATCACTGTCCCTATAGTTGAGTGACAAGGAGGAGCTGAATAAAACTGAAAAGGTTATAAAAAGTCCTCTAAAGAACCTCTGGGTTCTGACAGGTTTTTTTTTATCTTGTTTTAGGATATTTGTACGGTGTGTTTAGTTAAGGTCTTAACCTCAACCTCATAAACTGAGTAACAATAATGAATCAAGCTTTTCAATATTTCAGCTTTGTCTGAGAGATCAGTTGTATATTTTCAAATGTTTCTGAAATGGTCTCATTGGATATCCACAGTGCCTTCAATTTCTTCATCTACAGGCTAAGACAAGTTTGAAGCATTCTGAATTTCCAGATTATAAAACAATGCTGAAATTCATAATTCAATCTGGTTTTGCACATAAGTAATCTTAATTTGATTTTAAAAGAAAGCTGAAGTTCTTGGAGACCAGGACTGAGTTGCTCAAAACACTGGTTAGCGTTAACCACTGGTTAAATCTTTTATCCAGCGGTTAACTTTTAACCATTGGCTAAATTCTGTTGCTCAAAATCTATTCACTGGTTAACTTTGCTATCCAGTGGTTAAATATCGGCTAATGTTAGCCATTCCACAGAGGTGGGTTAAGTCCCTTAACCAGTGGATAATTGTGACTAATAAGTTATTATTTGTTGTAAATTTTTTTGGATAACAAAAGAAAGAAAGGCTATATAGACATTGTAATCAAGAATTTAATGTTGATGAATACTAAAGTTGACATATGCAGTCATTTATAAGTCGAGTTGAATGTCTTTTTAGCAATATTAGGCAGGGATAACAACACTGTCAGGGATATGATAGGTTTTCAAATCTTCATCCACAGCAGAAATGTTTTAAATGGGTTATTTCAAAGATAAACTTGTTGGCAGTGCGAAGGATCTTGTCAAGTGGCCTTCCCCTGCTGAAAAATAAATAATAATTATTATATGTACAATTTAAACAAAATTTATAAATGAATAAAATTGTTGGTCATTTACATATAGGTCTAATTATTTATATAGATAAATTGAAACATAACTTGGGTTAGCGGTACCTAACATAAACTTTTAAAATGAATTGAGAATTTTCAACCCCCCCCCCCACCTCCCTTTTTAAATGTCTTGAATAATGTATTTGGGTTTTTTTTTCTTCCAAAATAATATTAATTATTATTAATAAAGATTTTTAGTTATTACAGATATTGATGCTAATATAAACAGGTGTGGTGTTTATAAAATACACTTTGAATAATGCATTTTAGTTACACATCGAAATCTAATTGTACGGAGCGAAATGCATTAGTGACGAACTCGCTATATCAACTAGTATATTCGACCATGACCTTTCCGTAATATTAAAAAAAAATACTATCTACTATCAGTGAAAGTACATTGTATTACAGGATGACATAAATGTGAGGAAAGTTATTTATTGTTTGAAAATGTTTCACATACCGCTGAACCGAATCTTTCTGTCAAGGTATGTATAAAAGCGATAATATAAGAATTTCCTCGAATAATAGCAGACGATGTTTAGATCGTGTAAAGGTGTTACGACTCCAATCAGTTATTATTTAAGCATGAGACGATACAAATTGATGTATTTGCCTCGTAAGTATAGCCAATTCTTGGATAGGAATCATTTTGAAGAGATATATGGCAATTCACTATGCCTGTAAAATATTTTATTTAAAACTAAGATTTAACAGTTTCGAGCAATTAAGTATCTCCCATCAGTCTAAACACAGCCTCATATCCATCTTACCTGTGATGCTAATCATCCTATACCAGTCTATGTGCTTACTGCATCCTCCACTTGAATTTTCTGCAAAGTTTAATCCCAGCTGGCTTGTGCTTTCCTCACTGTTTGTGACTAAAATTTTTGTTAAGGTTTGATAACTGTTACATCTCGATATTTTTCCACATCTCCAATTCGGTTGTAATATTAAAACTTCTCACTATTTACTCATTTGATATTTACCATGGTAGCCATTTTTTTTGGTTGACAACTGGACAAATGTAATGCATTATGGGATACTAACCAGTGGTTAAATCACTTAACCTGTGGTTAGTTAACCAGAGGCTAATTTTATTTTGAGCAACAATTATTTGACCAGTGGTTAGTTACCCAGTGGATATAGAATTTAACCAACGGCTAACTTATCCAGTGGTCAAATTTAACCAGTGTTTTGAGCAACTCAGTCCAGGTCTTTGTTAAGCCTTTGTTTTTTACTATACTTGACCATGAAATGTTCTGTCCACTTGATCAATACAATGGGCTCACGGCGAGTGTGACCGCTCAACATAGGTTGCTCAACCCTCCTTGGCACCTGGACTGAGTTGCTCAAAACACTGGTTAAATTTGACCACTGGATAAGTTAGCCGTTGGTTAAATTCTATATCCACTGGGTAACTAACCACTGGTCAAATAATTGTTGCTCAAAATAAAATTAGCCTCTGGTTAACTAACCACAGGTTAAGTGATTTAACCACTGGTTAGTATCCCATAATGCATTACATTTGTCCAGTTGTCAACCAAAAAAAATGGCTACCATGGTAAATATCAAATGAGTAAATAGTGAGAAGTTTTAATATTACAACCGAATTGGAGATGTGGAAAAATATCGAGATGTAACAGTTATCAAACCTTAACAAAAATTTTAGTCACAAACAGTGAGGAAAGCACAAGCCAGCTGGGATTAAACTTTGCAGAAAATTCAAGTGGAGGATGCAGTAAGCACATAGACTGGCATAGGATGATTAGCATCACAGGTAAGATGGATATGAGGCTGTGTTTAGACTGATGGGAGATACTTAATTGCTCGAAACTGTTAAATCTTAGTTTTAAATAAAATATTTTACAGGCATAGTGAATTGCCATATATCTCTTCAAAATGATTCCTATCCAAGAATTGGCTATACTTACGAGGCAAATACATCAATTTGTATCGTCTCATGCTTAAATAATAACTGATTGGAGTCGTAACACCTTTACACGATCTAAACATCGTCTGCTATTATTCGAGGAAATTCGCACTTATATTATCGCTTTTATACATACCTTGACAGAAAGATTCGGTTCAGCGGTATGTGAAACATTTTCAAACAATAAATAACTTTCCTCACATTTATGTCATCCTGTAATACAATGTACTTTCACTGATAGTAGATAGTATTTTTTTTTAATATTACGGAAAGGTCATGGTCGAACATACTAGTTGATATAGCGAGTTCGTCACTAATGCATTTCGCTCCGTACAATTAGATTTCGATGTGTAACTAAAATGCATTATTCAAAGTGTATTTTATAAACACCACACCTGTTTATATTAGCATCAATATCTGTAATAACTAAAAATCTTTATTAATAATAATTAATATTATTTTGGAAGAAAAAAAAACCCAAATACATTATTCAAGACATTTAAAAAGGGAGGTGGGGGGGGGGTTGAAAATTCTCAATTCATTTTAAAAGTTTATGTTAGGTACCGCTAACCCAAGTTATGTTTCAATTTATCTATATAAATAATTAGACCTATATGTAAATGACCAACAATTTTATTCATTTATAAATTTTGTTTAAATTGTACATATAATAATTATTATTTATTTTTCAGCAGGGGAAGGCCACTTGACAAGATCCTTCGCACTGCCAACAAGTTTATCTTTGAAATAACCCATTTAAAACATTTCTGCTGTGGATGAAGATTTGAAAACCTATCATATCCCTGACAGTGTTGTTATCCCTGCCTAATATTGCTAAAAAGACATTCAACTCGACTTATAAATGACTGCATATGTCAATTTTAGTATTCATCAACATTAAATTCTTGATTACAATGTCTATATAGCCTTTCTTTCTTTTGTTATCCAAAAAAATTTACAACAAATAATAACTTATTAGTCACAATTATCCACTGGTTAAGGGACTTAACCCACCTCTGTGGAATGGCTAACATTAGCCGATATTTAACCACTGGATAGCAAAGTTAACCAGTGAATAGATTTTGAGCAACAGAATTTAGCCAATGGTTAAAAGTTAACCGCTGGATAAAAGATTTAACCAGTGGTTAACGCTAACCAGTGTTTTGAGCAACTCAGTCCTGATCTATAATCAATAGAATTCTTTGAAGAGGCCATAAAGTACCGACCTCTGTAGATTTGTGGGTGTTTTTTTTAAGTTGATCACTGTTCGTTGTCTTCATCTTTTTCATTTTCTTTTAAAGATTTGCGAGAGGCAAATTCAGAGGAATGGTAAAACCTTTAGAGACCCACAAGCGAGAACACCATTCTTCGTGGAAGGCTCCTTATGGATCGGGTTTGATGACCAGCTTAGCATATATCACAAGGTAGGGTTTTGATCTGTGTTTCATTTCTAAGCCCGTTACTTCTGAAAATGTGTACTCAATTTTGTCTACATCTTCTATAAATGTAGATAAACGATCAAGTGATAAAGAAAAACCTAGGAGGTGCCATGATATGGGCGCTAGACTTTGACGATTTTAACAATATATGTGGCTATGGGGCGTACCCGTTATCCAGGGTGATGAAGAGCACACTGGAGGCCGCGGAATCCGGTAACTCTGTCACCCCACCCCCTACACACATCCCCCTCTCTACCCTGGGGCCGACAAGTAGGTCCCCCAACACAACACCATCAGACAACGACGGGAAAGATCCAAACAATGGCGGGAATGATAATTCAGGGGTCACCAGTCACGGTATTAACATTCCACTTCTATCTCTGATTGATTCCTTATAATAAAAATGTTTCTTACATCCTATATCTTTAAAATAACATTTTATGACATACCTGGTCGTATCTAGAGTCCTTGATACTACGTATTGTTTTTCTTTACTTTCATAGATGTGGACTGCAGTCAGTCTATGGATGGCTACTACAGATACGTGTCCGATTGTTCCAAGTTTATTCAGTGTGTTAGAGGAAAAGCTTACGTGAAAGCCTGCCCACCGAATTTAGAGTTCAACATTAATAATGACCAGTGTGACTGGCCATACAACGTGGAATGTACCCCACTAAATCTCACTGACCTCAGAACCACTACTTTCTCAACGACATCATTGAGTTTAACCAGTACTCAGTCTATAATCAACTCAACACTATTAAACAACAGGCCTATAAACAGTGGATATCATTTTGTACCTAATATTATCTTGTCTCTTTTTTATTATTTAATTATACTTCTTTTATATTTTTCATGATGATTTCAGTTTTGTTTTTTTTATTTATTTTTATATTGATATTTATAAAGAAATGTTCATTTTGTGATTTATATCCTGCAAGAAATATATTTTTTCAATTATAAAAAAAACTGTTACAACGACACAGAATTTTAATATGTATGTATCTTTATATTATATCTTTGATTTCATTTACACAAGTTTTGGTGCAATTGATTTACTAGTATATTATTTATATGCTGGAGTGCAATATTTGGCAAAATTATAAAACTTTTCAAACTTAATTCTTTATTAGTACGCTTTGAATGTTCATTTTTATTCCTTTTGATATATTTTCCTTACAGGCATATATTTTTTGGAAACAATCTTTAAGGTCTTTGGTACCCTAATTACTGTAATTCGAAGTGATTCTTGTTTCATGCATTCTTTTCTTCAAATAACTCGTAATTCAAAAAATATTTTTTAAAAATTCCAAAGTATTGAACTTCAAAAAATATTACTTTAATCATTTTGAATAAACGCTATATTTTTTTTTCAAATTTTAAATCGCTTTATATCCAATAACTGAAATTCATATGAAGGTACTGTTTAGGGTCAAAAGTACTACCGTTAGGTATTCGTACAAAAATGGCAACAATGTCAACAAAACTAAGTCACCTTAGCTCCTCCAAGTCTAATAAAACTTGTACCAACCTTAATATTTCGTTACACAGTCTTTAGACTTAATTACAGTAACTGCTTTAATTTTTCTTGGAAGCTTTTTATTTAAATGAGGTGGCATGCCGTATGAATATTGTCAGGCCATTGCTGATTTTTAGATTATGAACACGAACTTTCGGGTTTGACTGACTTCCCCCCAAATCACGGTATATTTAAATCAGGATTTTGGGCTAGCCAATCAAGTGTATGGCACGCCAAATTCACAAAAATGAGCTAAACATAGTTTCACAGTCGATAAACTAGGTTTATCGGTTGTAATCTATAGTTTACGGACTGTAAACTATAGTTAACAACGTTAATCTATATTTTACATCCGTAAACCATAGTTAACGCGATAATCTATGTTTCACAACCGTAAACTACACTTAACACTGAAAACAATCATTTGCGATTGCAAAACATAGATTATCTGATAAATACAGTTTCACGATTTGTAAACTATGGTTTACAAACCGTTAACTATAGTTAACGATCTGATAAATATAGTTTCACGATTTGTGAAACTATGATTAACAACTCTTAACTATAGTTTACGATTGTAAACTATAGTTTACAAACGTGAATCTATGTTAATCAACAAAATCTATTGTTAACGCTTATTACAAACAGATAAACTTAGATTATCATTCGTAAACTATAGTTAACAACCGTTAAATATAGTTTTACAGATGATTAACGAATCGTTAACTATAGTTTACGGTTTGTAAACTATAGTTTACAGTCGATAAACCTAGTTTATCAAATGTGAAACTAGGTTTATCTCATTTTTGTGAATTTGGCGTGCCATACAAGTGTTCAACCTCCCTCATGTGAAATCTTTAAGTACATGTACCCTTGTTCTATGCACATGCGGATTGATGTCGTGAAAATGTTGAAATATAAACCGATTGTCTTGGAAATGTTTGTCAACATTTTTTACAACAGGCCATAAAATGATAAATGCTATCAATTTTTCGACAGTTCTATTATCATCAACAACTCATAAAGTACCAACACTGTTAGTTATTACACATCATCTGTTACCGTTCACGGTAGCTCAGTCGGTAGAGCGCTCGCTTCGTGATCGGGAGGTCGTGAGTTCGTATCTCGGCTGCGACTGACCTAGTCGTTAAAATGGGTAGCAACTGTTCCTTCGCCATGCGCTCGGCACTTTGAAGTGAAAGGTGCGGGTCCTTCGGATGAGACCTTAAAAACCGAGGCCCCGTGTCAGCGGCAGGCGTTGGCACGATAAAGATCCCTCACTGCTCAATGGCCCTGAGTGCCGAGTAAAGGTCAAAATTTGAAGCCCTTCACCGGCATACGGTGTCGTCTCTATATGAGTGAAAAATTCTCGAGAGGGACGTTAAACAATATACAATCAATCCATCATCTGTTAAGTCGTGGCGGCGTCCAGAAGGGGTGCAGCACAAAAGGGGGTCCCATTCCTCCGGTCTTTCGCTGCATAGTGTTGTTTTCTGTCAATCATCACCTTACACTCATCACTAAATAAACTCTGAAAATTTGAGCGAAATCCATTGAGAAATGAGTGAAATCTGAGGCCTCAAAGTTGGCGTCTAGGAAAAGGAAAAAAAAAAGGAATAATAAGAATAATCTTAATCATCAGAATCAGTAGAAGGTCTTCCGTTGGAAACGCAAGACCTTAAAAATGGGTAAATTTACTTACTAATGCCCTTAACTGACCATCGTAGACGCAAGATGCAACATAGTTATGTAGACATGCGACTTTTTTTTTAATGTCAACATGCAAGATAAACATGTACACATGCAACTTATTTATGTCAACATGCAACTTATTTATGCCAACGTTGGCAATATCCTGAGCGCGCCAAAACACAGTTGTATTTTCGTATCACTATATATATGTGAGGTATAAATGTGGAGTAGTTATTGTAGCGAACATCCTGCCACCTGGCGTCATAATGCGGCATTAAATTAGCACGATTTGTATTGGTCTTCGTTCAAAGCGCTTCATGGATTGCGTAATTGAATTTACGATTTTAATTCAGATAATGATAGTAATGTGTTTAAAACTAAAACTATGTATCAATTTAAAAGAAAGAAGAAGGAACTTACAAGAACAAAGCAACTTAGATATAAACATGAAATAAAGAATGGAAGAATTTTAAAGTTAAATGTAAGAAGCACGAATATGAAAGCAATGAAGTGACATATAATGGGGTTATCCAATATGGATAAACCTGGTTATTTCGTGCAGCTTAATGTTTTACATGCAAAGATAGATAACTCTTAGTTTCTTAACATTGAACGTCATAAATCATCGGGCTTAAAAAATTCTTGATATTTCTGTATGCGCATGTCTTCTAGAATATTCCTTTTGAATCTGTAAATTGAATGAAGCAGACGCAAAGATTTTTTAAAAACCCACCCTCCCTCCCCTTAATTTTATATTTTATCCCCCTTTAGCCATTTTTCAAATGCATTTTCATTATAACTGTTTTTTCCGGTTGTTTTTTCGTTTTCTTTTAATTTCTCGTTTCAGCGTCATGGCATGGATCGAATCTTGAATAGGATCCACCACTTTGTTGATGTGCTTTGCGGACCTTCGATGTTCCAGTTGCGTGTGGCTATTGACTTTGTTAGGCATAATTTTGCAAAGAATGCTGTCTCCGGGGGGTACTGTTTTTTCCAGACTCCTTGGATCAAGCTGGTATTTCTCTTGCTCATCATCTATATTCATTTACCTATGCTGCCATATAATCATAATGATCGGCGCATACATTGTGTTATATCTAATTTATTATTAAATGGCCATGACAAGCACGCCAAAACAAATAAAGTCTTCTTTTTATTGACTGTATTTTCAGACTTCTTAAACCTTTTACTGGGTTCAATCTGATCAAGTGTTTTTCTTTTATTGTCTTAGTCCAATGTCACGAAATAATTACAATAATACCAAAGAATAAGCAAGATGACAGAATATAAGAACAATAAAGTGACATATAAATAACACAATACCAAAGAATAAGCAAGAAGGCAGAATAAGAGAACAATAAAGTAACATATAATTAATATAATACCAAAGAATTAGCAAGTAAGCATAATAAGAATAAAAATGCAAGACGCATAGACTTTTGGCGGTAATTCCCTTCCATAGCCAACATGCAACTTATTTATGTCAACATGCAAGATATGTACGAGGGCCGTTCAAAAATTACGCGGACTTGTTTCACAGAAGAAATATTTGACAACATAATCGGGCAAAACATCACAAATAATATAAAAGAATCTTTACTTATATGGTCTTCAAAATTTCATATCAAAATGTTGTAAGTTGGTATTAATTTTGAGTGATTTTTCAGGACATACCATTAAGTCACGGCGCAGCAAAATCTTCGACGTCACAAGCATTATAAAAAATACGTGATTGAGCTTTCATTTTCTCAACATTTTCCCTTGAGTACCTGTAAAGTTTGAGTTACCTTATCTACTCAACATGAAAACACCATTTCTTGTCAAGCTTAAAATCTATTAAACAAGTAAAGAATATTCTTTTTTTTTTTTGTTTTAAAACCGAAAACTACTTATGAGATATAGTGTGATATTGGTGACTCTCAATCAAGTTCTTTACAGTCTGGATAAAGTTAACTTTTCGTCTATAATCTTCTTCCCGTCCTCCCGTATAGCCTTTTTACAGAGGTCTAACTGTCTAAAATTTCAATTTGTTATTTGCGGGCGAATGTCACGAGTAGCCTAGTTTACTAAATGTTTTATAATGCATATTTTGGATCGATGTTGCCAATATCTCGAGCATTACACATATTTTAACAAAAGTGTGGTGTGCCGTCAATTCAGGAGACGTCATTTTCACAGTTGTTTTCACGGAAATCGCATCAGAGAAAAATCACTATATTTCTGTTATTACTTCAAATATTACGTCCGAAATCTAAATACATAATATTAGAACAATTTTAAGGTAAATTTGAGAAAATTGTTGAAAAATATCGCGAATTTTAGAAAATCAATGAGTTAAATTTTTGAATCCGCATGCTTTTGCTTCAATTTTTTTGTCGTGCGCCGTACCTCTCCATCAACGATATCAACATACCGATAATTTTAGTAGATTTTTTTTAAAATATAGAAATTTTGCCCAAAATTTATTGGAATCTTTAAGCTACATATTTCTGTGAAATTTTATAACTATATGACGTCTGCAAGAGTAAATAATAGCACAGTCAGCGTAATTTTTGAACGGCCCTCGTATGTTGATATGCAACTGATTATCTTGCATTTTGACATAAATCTCTTGTATGTAAAAACATAACTCGCGTGTTGACATA